AATAGCCAAGAAAGATGCACTCTTTAAATCTAAATTCCAACTTGTGTTTGTTGTAAGGACGGAGAAAAGGAAAACATGCACAGCCAAATTTTTTCAGAAACTTGTAATCAGGCTGTTGGTGTAAAAGTCTGGTATATGGGATCTCAAAATTAATGGCAGATGAAAGAAGTCTGTTTATTAGGTAACAGGAAGTAGTGAAAGCATAATCCCAATATTTCATTGCAAGAGAGGAGTGAGCTAGAAGAGCTAACCCAGTTTCCACAATGTGACAGTGTTTTCTCTCAACTACACCATTTTGATGGGAGGTGTGAGGACAAGTTACTCTATGGGCTATTCCACTCATTTGAAGATAATGGGTAAAGGCTCTAAACTCACCACCCCAATCTGTTTGTAAGGCTTTTAGAGGAAGTTGAAACTGGTTAGATATCATGGCATGAAATTGTTTAAAGACTGTGAGTGCATCTGATTTTTGTTTTAAAGGATAGAGCCATGTGTATCTGGTATAGACATCTACAAAAGAGATGTAATAGCTATTACCAAGAGTTGATTTTAGAGGTGAGGGTCCCCAAAGGTCACTATGTACAAGAGCAAATGGTTCCTTATATTCAGTAGTAGAGGGTGTTGACTGCAACCTATGAGCCTTAGCACAACAGCAAGAAGCACAAAATTGTGGCATTTTATTATTGTGATGTATGTTACAAGACTGAAGTACTCTCTTGAGAGAGTCTAAGTGTGGGTGCCCTAGACGGCAGTGCCACAATGTGTACATTGAATTGTTTACAAATGCAGAAGATGCATTGCTATCATCTATTACATCAACAGCAGACTTAGAATACTGAATACTGGAATTGACAGGTATATTAGCAAGATTGACAGACTTGGAAGCAGATTTATTTGGAATTGAAGTAGTGTCCTTAGCAAACTGGAGATCTGGAAAACAGTACAGACCATCATCACCAACAGTACCTTGAAGCAAGATTTTATGGGAATCTTGACATTTCACAAGACAAATATCAGAATGGAATTCAAAGAAAACTGAGTTATTTTTAGCAAACTTGCTAACACTGATGAGATTCTTAGTGATTGATGGAACTAAAAGAAGGTGTTTAAGGTGTAGACAAGTCATATTATCAACAGGAGATAAAAAGGAAGAAGATCCAATAGTTGTTATAGGCAAACCTTGGCCATTCCCAATGAAAATATGATCAGTACCACTAAGCTGATGTCCGTGTGTAACATTCTGAGAGGCTCCAGTCACATGGTTGGAAGCACCTGAATCAGGTAGCCACTCAAGAAGTTGTGCTGAGTTAGTAGCTGATGGTGCTGCCAGGTAAGCTTGTGCATGTGGCTGAGCCTGTGGTCTACTGTATTGGAAGGACCTGATACTCTGAGCTTGCGGATGAGTAAAAAATTGTGGATAAGAAGTGTGTTGTGGTGGAGGTAGGTTTGGAATGAAATTTTCCTCAAACCTGTGCCAGCAGTCACGCACATCATGGCCAAATTTGTAACACAATTGGCAATGGACATTTGTTCTATTTCCACGTCCTCTTCCACGACCAAACCTCCCTCCAGGTCTTGCTCGTCCTCTGCTTTCACCAGAGGAAGTGTGATAGCGTTTTGCAGTGAAAGATTGATGATCTGGTCGATCTTGTTTTATGTTTTGAGAAACAAAATCATCATCTTCTTCTGGTTCAGTACTCGGAGGAGCTGTACTGCGTTGTGTAAGATTCACAGATGCTCCTTCAGCTAGCAGTTGTTCATTCTGCTTAAGGAGAAGTTGTTCATGAGCCATAAGTTCAACTCCAAGATCTGCTACTGAGTACGATCTGTCTCGACCATGTATTATCATTACAAAAGGATTGTAATCAGATGACAAACCTTCAAGTATAGTCTCAGTGTGTTCTTCCAGAGATACTGGACTTCCAATCGATTTGAGAGTCTCACAAATTGTTTTGATTCGCGTAAGATACTCTTTGGCTGTTTTCGTTCCTTTCTTCATTGTTTTGAGTTCATATCTGAGCTGTCTAGCTCTCGATTTCATAACTCCATGAAACACCTTGTGTATGTTCTCCCAAGCTTCGAATGAATGCTTGACTGGAAGAATGTCATTAACTATTTGTTCAGAAATTGTTGATAATAACCAGGTCAGAAGCATTTGATCTTGTGTTAACCACTCTGTATATTCTGGAGTGGAGACATTATCTTCGTGATTCTGTTCAGAACTGAACTTCAAGGGAATCTTAGGGTTCACCAAGAAACGCTGCAACTAGTGTGATGTTATAATCGGTTCAATGATTTGGTTCCAGAAGAGATAGTTATCTTCTGTGAGTTTTTCTGATATTGAGAAGTTGAAGAGTGTGGATGGATCCTTGTTTTCCATTGTAGATCTGGAATTTGACTTCTCTGGTTGTGTTATGCTGTTGTCATTGAGATTGGTAGCGGAAGACATGATTGAAGCTTGTTGAATGGATCAGGCCCTAGGAGAGGGCTCTGATACCATAACAGAGAACCACCATTGATGGTGTGAGAGAGAAGAGAGACGAGGAGTAGAGAGAGATCAGAAAGATGAACATTGTGATTAGAGGAAAAATGAATAGTGAGTTAACCATTACACTGTACACTTATCTTTATTTAATAGAGAGGTGGTTAATGCATTGCTGACTCAGCATCTAACAAACTAACAAACTGAACTAGATACAGTTAAGCACTTAAACAAACTCACTAATACAGCTATACTAGTTATGCTAATAGAACCCACCCCAAATCAGATTAATCACAAAGTGATAAACCAATTGGAATATTTCAAAAAAAAAAATATCTACTGGTAAAAAATGTAATTGGCCATTGCCTAAGCAATGAAGGGAAGTGGTGGTGGATACATGTTCTTTTGAGTGATAATTTTGTGCCTTATTTAGGTATGATTTGGGTGCCCAAGCCTGCGTGAGTATAATTTTATTTTGGAAAATCTGAAAATTTTTGTAATGAAAAATTTAAATTCCTTTGTGAGTAGGTCAAACATTCATTCCCAAAATAAATGGTTATATTGCACCTGCTATTTGTTATTCTAAAGTTTGTTCTGATTTTTGTTTAACTTATATGTGGCATATACTCTGCATCATTAGCACATACACTCAGTTTTGATGGCAAACAACAAAGTAGTAAATGTGGTTTTTGAGAGTGGCAGTTCGTATATGTATTTTAAATAAGAGACATACTTAGATCTTGTTGCTTTTGTAAGTTTTTAGATCTAACCATCTATTACAATTTTCTAATATATTTTTTTATTTTTTATTTTTTAGTCCAGTATTGAGCTTCATATATTTATTATTTGTGTATATTACTTTTTTTTAAAAATAATATCACATTAATGCGGTCAAAGTTGTATATTGACGGCGTTAGACAAGTCATGCACATAAACAATGCGGCAACAATGATTGTCATATATAATAACCCAAATAATTAATTACATTAATTAGAAGATAATTTATTTATCTTCTAATTAAGAGTAATTATAGATGAAAAGTCTAATTCAAAATTTATGTCACTTCTCAAGACAAAAATTTAAATAATGAGAGTGTTGGGCAAAAGTGTCAATAATACAAAGTGGGTGAGACCGAAAATAAATTAAGTGAGTTACACTTTAATTAAATCCAAATAGCCCAAACAATTTAAAATAAGTGGTTTGAATGAGTGGTTGTAAGAGAAGGAAATGAGAGGGGCAAAATGATAATTTTACCAAAAGAGATAGTTTTCTAAATAACATGACAATCTCGCTCCTCTCTCTCTCTCTCATTTTTTCCATTTCACTTTCTTCCTCCCTCATCTCCATCGATCTCTTCCTTTCTTTTTCCCTAAAAAATATCTTGACCTCCATTGTTGATCCAAGCTTAAAGGTTGAAGCTTGGATATCACTCCCACTTGGTTCCACCATAGAAACCTAAAGCCCCTTCACCCTTAAAGGCTAAAGTTAAGAACCTAAGCAGAACACCTATTTCCCCTTTTGAAATCCATTTTCGCATACCACCTAAGGTTGAAGCAAGGAAGGAGTTTTCTCCACCATAGGAGCTTAGGAGTTTTGATTCTTCAACCCTTTGGTTGATTTAAGGTGAGCTTTGATGGTTTTACCTTGAGTTTCTATGGATTTGAACTTTGGGCTAGGGTTGTTATGGAGAATTGGGGATTTTGAGAATTAATGCATGAATGTGGATATTAATGCTTGAATCTTTATCATGATGTGTAGGAGTGTTGTTGATGGTGTTAAATAAGGGTGTTAACGGGCCGAGCCGAGCCGATCTTTGATCTTATCGGGCCAAGCCTGTATTTAAACGTGTCAGACTGGCCTTAGCCTGTTACCTGTTACAAATATAATATTAGCATGTGGCCTGGTTTATTTACAAAAAATAAAAGCTTGTCTTAAGACTATGGCCTGGTTTATTTATTAAAAATAAAAACCTTAGCTTGCAATTTGCAGCAGTATTTAGCACATTAATCATGCACTGATATGTATTTTTTGTAAGAAAATAATAGTTGTTTCTTATATAATAAAAAACATATTAATATTAAAAAGTCAAAATAACAAGCAACAACTTTACTTTACGTCTTTGCTTTTCGTTCTAGAATTTTCTTTCACATTCTAGGTTTGAACCCCACCATCGACCTTAGTTTTTTTTTTGTTATTTTAATCTTTCTACATCTTATATCTTCATCTTCATATCTCTTGTTCGACAGAGATACAAAGTGCAACAAACCAATCGCCAGAATTTTCATCTTCATATTCCATGGTGGAATGTTCATCTTCATAGATCCGGTTGCTTTTCACCGGTGACCGTGCCTCCGCCTCTGGAATCATCACCACCACTTCGCTCCGCAGCCACCACACCATCTCGCCACCTCGCATACCACCTCGTCTCTTCCCCACTGCGCTGTCCATGCCACTGCTGCAGTTGCAAGGAAGAGGACCATGAGTGGCTGAGTTCTAAAAATCATTTTATGGCAAGGAGATGGCTATGGAGGAAGGTGATTTGGGCGGTGGTTGGTTTCTTGGTTGGGTCGAGGAGGTGGGAGGTGGTCCGGTTGTGTTATTGGGAGTGGTCTTGGCTGGCGGTGGGTGTAGGTTAGGGTTTCTAAAAAAAATAAAGAAAGAAATAAGAGAGGAGAGAAAGAAGAGACCGGTCACGTTAAAATGATTAATAATAAAAAAGAAAAATTAATGTAACGGGCCAGTCTCTCAGGCCCCAAGGTCGGGCTTATCCATGAAAGCCTGAGGCCTTTTAAATAAAAAGGCTTTTATATGTGTTCAAATTTGAGCCCAATAATAAAAAAGACGGGTCGGGCCAGGCCTAAGGCCCCTGGCCTTATTATCACCCCTAGTGTTAAATTTGGGTTGGAGCAACCTTGAGTTAGGGTTGTGACTCTTGAAACTTCAAGGGTTCGGGGTAAGTTGCTAAAATTTGAGTTCTTGGAGAAACTATAATCATAGATGTGATGATGATGTTGTATTTACGTATTGTTGATTGAATTTCCACCTTATGCATAGGTTCGATTAGTGTTGGATTTGGTTGGCATTAACTCACTTGGAAAATAAAGTGCTAGAGTGTATTGCTTCAAAGAGGTAAATTCTTGGACATTGGGACTAATCCTCTTTGATGTTCCACCATACTCTATTGGGAGTCATGGTTTATGTGAAATGACGTGTTTTGTGTATTAGAATAAGTAATAATGCATGGTATGAGTAAATATGCTTTTATATGAATGCATAATTGATGATGTTCCCTGCCCAGGAGAATATGTATGTATGGACTTCCCTTGAAACTAACTTATGTAGTAATTACTTGTGATTAAAACCTGAGACAAGAAGCCCGTAGAGACTTTTCTCGGAAGTGCTATACGAACACTCCCTTATTTGGCAAGTTGGCCAATAGAGTGGCTCTAGTGATATACGTTTATTTGTATAAGATATTCCATGCTATGCTTGTTTTAATGCATGTACATCATGTAAGTGAACTTAAGGGTGGATGAGTCTCCAAGGACCCTTAGTTTACTGAGATTGTTATCTCACCCCGTGTAGGGAATTATATTTCAGGTACCTCGAGTGAAGGAATTAGGACTTCCCATGGCAAGAATCCGGTTTAGGACATGATAGCCTTTACATTTTAATTTGGCCCCTTTTGATATAGGAACATATTAGGGCTTTTGTTTTGAACCTGCATATTTGGATATTTGTAATATGAGAAGTTGTATGATTGGTCATATGTGTGCCTATGTCAAAAGGAAAGTCAAGTATGTGATAAACTTTATTTTGGTGATGTTAGCGACAAGGTGATATATAATTGAAGGGCTTGTATGCCTTGTAAATATTGAGTACATGAGTATTTATTTTGATATATATTACTTTTGGGTATCATTCATGTAATGATAATGATGTAAATGAGTTTGATGGCTTGATGTCAAGGATTGGAAATTCATGAATGAAATGTGTATATTGATGCTTGAATATCGCGAAGAATGGTTAGTTGTAGTTGATTGTCATGGTTTATTAGATACAAGATTGAAGTTATACACTTAAAAAGTGGTCTAGGACCTAATTGGGGAGACTAAAACTTAAATTTTTGAATGTCCAATGTTCCATGGCTCCTCCAACGCTAAAAAACAGAAATAATCGAGTCACGACGCTTCCAGCACTAAGTTGGAGCTTCCAATGCCAAGAAGTAGGGGGAAACATATCACGGCACTTCCAGCGCCAACATACAACGATTTCAGCTTAGCGTAGTAAAATGCACATATCTTGAGTTAGAGAACTCAAAATCGAGTGAGGTTTGAACCTATATAAAGCTGACTCAAAGATCTACAACCATATAAAATCTTAAGACCTATGGATAAGTGGATAAATCCTAATTCTATTTTAAAGTTGTTGTTCAACTTTCGAAAGTCTGATTTGAAGTAGTTGATAAGTGTCAAAGACACTATGTTTTTAATGTCAAATATAGTTCAAATAATAATTAATATAATTAAAAATATAGTGTTAATTAATAAAATATTAAAAGTTAGTAAAATACCAACAATTAGATAAAATCCTAATCTTTTTTATTGTTTCAGGTTGTTTCATACTAGGAATAACAAATTACTAACCTGATGAGGATGAGAAGGCAGTTGGCATCGGCTGAATATCAAGGAAAGATTGGAAAATAAATAATTATAAAAGATTCGGTCACACTCGCTCTTGTGCTCGCTTCAGCGAGCAAGTGAGCGAGAAGCATAATCAAGCTCGCTCTGCTGCTCACTTCAGCGAGAAAGTGAGCTAGGAGAGAAAAATTTCTCGCTGAGCAGCTCTCTTCAGCGAGCTCCTCATTGAGCTAGTCCAGAAATTAAAGCCCATTTTAATTCTTTAAATAGAACGCGATGAAAGTCGAGAAATCAATTCTGGAGAAACGAAGAAAAGGAGAACTCAGAGACGAAGACGAAGGCAGTAGCGAAAGAGGAATACTGGAGCTTTGCAGAGGAGAAGGAAGAAATCAAATATGCATCATTGATCATCACCATTAAACAAGTTTTACCATGAACCCTATCTATTTTACAGTAGCTTTTAATTCTGTTTTTATAATTATGCATAGCTAAATTTCTTAAGTACTTAGGGCGAGACGGAACCATGAGTTCTTAAACGCTGTTTTTTTTTATGATTTATGTTCTTGATTTAAAGTTATGCAATCAATCTGTTATTTATGATTAGTTTTGTTTATGACTTGATCACTCGTAGATAAACATATGAGTCGTGCATGACAATAGGGATGTTGGTGTATGATTTTGATTGGTTGATTGCTGGAATTTGTATGATTTAGGGATTGACTTATGAATTCTATAACTGTATGTTCTTGCGTTAATGCTTACTTTATGGAAAAGTATTAAGGGATTAGGCTTTTGAGTTGAGTAAAAGATTGTATTACCAAGGGATTGAGATTTAATCGAATATAGAAAGAACTGTTAATAACTGGATCATGAATGTAGTTATAAGAATAGGTAACTTAGTTTGGAAATCATTGGGGAAGTTAAGTCCTAACTACATGTTTTATAAAAACTTAAAACCAATTTCTAGCATTTTAAATTCTGAATTTAATTTCTTGAATATTGAAAACTAAAAATAAGTAGTTAAAATTCTGTTTTAATTTAATTAAAATATTCTCAAGAAACCCGTTCACAATCGATCCAACTTTAATTACATAGATAAATTAGTGATTGGTCATTAGCCCTCGAGGAATCGACAACTTATTCTTATCACTTTATTACTTATACGACCGGTGCATTTGTCGAAGTCGAAACAGCAGTCATCTTGTGAGTTACATAACTTTGGCTATACTTAACTAAATGATTAATGTTATACTTTGTTGGAAAGTTAAAAATGTTAAAACTTAGGTTTCTTTTATTTTGTTTAAGGGTTTTATAAAAGTTATGTTGTAGAAAAAGTGATTGTGTTATGTTATAGAGTTTCGTTTTGCGTGCCGTAGTTTTTTTTCCTTCAAAACATGTGGGCCCCATAAAATGTTGTATGTGTAGGAAACCTTTTGTGGTCAGGTTAAATGATGAATGCAAACTCCTTTGTTTAAGTAATAAAAAGAATTACAAAGTGATTATAAAAAAAAAAAAAGAATTACGAAGTTAATTTAAAAAAATTATTTTTCTTCTTATACAAGTATTTTTTTTTTTTTTTTTGGTGATCCCGTTTTCCGAACCAGAAAAGATTATTTCGTCATACATTGGGCAACAAAATACTTTAGTGATTGCAACTTCAATTTGAAGAAGAATGCAACAAAATGCACAAAATCAAAATCCAAATTGAAATTGTAAAAAAGAAAAATATGGCTGCATCATTAATTTGATGTTGGTTTTTCAATAGGTATCTTATTAATCTCATGCAACAGAGATAAGATAGTATGGTCCACTACTTTTTCGAAAAAAGAAAAAATAATGGACTCCACTATTTTGTCTCTGTTGCATAAGATAATTATTTTCTTTTTCAATATACACGGGTAATGAATAATATCATGTGCAAAGCGTTAAATAACATGAGTAACGGGAAAATTTTATAGAAGATTAAAATTTTGTATGTATCTTATAAGCTTAAATTTTATAGGATTTTATAAAAGTTATGTTGTAGGAAAAATGATTGTGTTATGTTATAGAGATTTGTTTTGCGTGCCGTAGTTTTTTTTTTCTTCTTCAAAATATGTGAGTCCCACAAAATGTTGTGTGTAGGAAATTTTGTGTGATCATGTTAAATGATGAATGCAAATTTCAATTTTATATGCTGTAATGAAAAAATGCTGATGTTGATGTAAAAAATAATAATAATCTTAGAATCCAATCATATATTATCATATCACTAAAAATAATGGATGCTAACTAAGTAATAATAATATTATGAGTTGTAGGTCAACGGATAAAGAATTAGAAATACCGTGTATGGATTGAACTTTCTTATTTGCTTCTCCATATATATATATATATATATATATATATATATATATATATATATATATATATATATATATATATATAAAGCAAAGGATTAAAGTGTATAAGTCCATATGAGATTATTTGAAGAGAAGAAAAAAAAATATAAATTTATGTACCAAACAAATATATATATAAATTTTAAAAACTTTTATGTGTGTATAGGAGATAAAATTATATCTTCTAATGTGAGAAACAATATACTAGTAAACCAAAACATTGAACCAGACACGGAGACTTGGTAAAAAATGCGATTCATATACAAATTTAGGGATACGGAGACTTGGTAAAAGAAGCGATTCATGTACAAATTTAGAGAAATATTTTTTAAGGTACATGATCATCTCATAATTTAGTGCTCTCTCTCACATCACCAATTTTTTTTTTCCTTTTTTATTTATTTTTTCTCAATTTTACCTTCTCATTTACACTAAAAGATCACCTAAAAAATAGTGCCTCACACCATAATAAATTCTCTCCAAATTTAGAGTTGTAGGAGTAGCACTCAATTATATGTACATATATGGAGGAGCAGAAGGAACATTGAAAACACATGTCGCCTATATATATTAAGTAATCTACATTCTACTTTCACTATATAGATATATAGGTCACCCTTTTGAACATTGAACAAACACTAGTAACTCCACATTATCTCGAGGACAATGTCCCTTAATTGACGTAACGTACTTGTTACTTTATACTGAAAAAAGAAAAAGCGCGTTTGGTTGAAAAAATGGAGGAGGCACCCCCTCTTTGGAAAAATGGAAAATGAAAGAGGACCATAAGCACAATATATATAGTGAAGAGCCACCCCAACTTCATTGCCTCATCTTCTCTGTTACTTACAAAGAAAAGGGAGGAAAATTAACATTACCACAACTCTCTACATCCATCCATCAACAAGGTATATATACATATATGCTCCCTTGGTCCTCTCAAATATAAGTTTTAATATTAGGCCTTATTCTTTTGTCTTTGGTTGATGATTGTTTTTCTTGGAATGTTGCTGCTAGATGTATGTGTATGTGCTCTCTTTAATCCAATGTGATTGATACATATGTGGGTTACTAATATGAAATGTAAAGATGTTGGTGGATTCTATATATATATATATATATATATATATATAGAGTAAACACCATTTTTAGTCCCTGTCAATATCTACGAAGTCCTTTTTAGTCCCTGACAATAAAAAAGGACCAAATTGGTCCGTGAAATTACAAAAAAAGGGTCATGTTAGTCCTTATGTCAACTCCCAAATATGTAGAGTGACCCTTTTCTTGTCCTTTCAGGGACCAATTTGGTCTTTTTTTATTGCCAGGGACTGAAAAGGACTTCGTAGATATTGCCAGGGACTAAAAAGGGTGTTTACTCATATATATATATATATATATATATATATATATATATATGTTTTTCTTTACCTTAACACTTTGTTGCTTTTATTGTTTACTTCTTCAATTAAAAATAGTTGGAATTTCCCTACTACAGGTTAATTTAAGTGTTACAGTAGTGCTAGGAATTATGATACTTGGACGCCTCTTTAGAAGAAAACAAGGTCCTTCAGCCTTGGAACAAAGATTGATTGATCCTCACTCAAATCCAGAACCAGAAAATGGCTTTGGAATCCCTTTCTTCTCTTACAAGGAGCTCGAAAAAGCTACAAATAATTTCAACCGTGCCACAAAACTTGGAAAAAATGTTTACTATGGTAAACCTTTCCCCACACTCTCTCTATTTGAACATGGATTGAATATTATATAGTAATTGTACTTGTATGATTGTATCATATATGTTGAATAACTAGTTATGTGATCATTAACAATTAACCAGGAAAACTGCAAGATGGTAGGGAAGTTGCTGTCAAGCGCCTATTATCATATGACTGTGGACATAACTTCAGGCAAGAAGAACAAAAGTTCAAGAATGAAATTGTGATCCTTAATAACATGAGCCATAGAAATCTTGTGTCCCTCTATGGCTGCACTCCATATCATGACACAGATGGGCTACTGCTTGTGTATGAATATGTTCCAAATGGGAGTCTTGCTAATCATCTCCATGGGGATTTAGCAAGGTCTACCACACTGCCGTGGCATGCCAGAATGAAAATTGCCATAGAGACAGCAAGTTCATTGGCTAAACTGCATGCTTTTGACATCATTCACTGTGAAGTGGAAACCAAAAACATTCTCCTTACCAACAGTTTCAGTGTTAAAGTTGCACACTTTGGCTTTTCATGGTTATTCCACGATATGGACCATACAGTTGTAATGGCCCCAGGTTGCTTTACCCCAGTACTTAACTTAAGTAGCAAGAGCGATGTATATTGTTTTGGAGTTGTGCTCATTGAGTTAATATCATCTAGGCCTGCTTCTGAGCATAAGTATATCATTGACTTCTCAAACCTAGCCATAAAGAAGATTTCATTTAGCAAGCTGGTAGATCCTTCTCTTGGTTTTGATTCAGACAAGGAGGTTAAGACCATGATAGTTTCAGTGGTAAAATTAGCTTTTCAATGTTTGCAATGGGAAAAGAAATTGAGACCTTCCATGGATGATGTTTTGAAGGAACTCATGAGAAATTGATAGAGAGAAGAAGTAGAACCAATGATGCATACTGTGATGATGACATTGGATAGTGAACGTCAGTGGTCAATGGCATAGCCTCGCACATTGCTTACTGCATTCTAACATTGTCAACTACAAGTATATCATTGACTTGTGACTAGATTTTAACTGCACCTATCATTGTAAATAAGTGAGTTCAACTCATATATCATATATCTTTCTTCCCATCCAGCACACATGATTATATTATTATATGCTGCACATCACCATTAGCCAAAATGAGCACCAAAATTATGGCAAATAATGCCAAAACCATATTTCAGTTTTTAATTAAACCAAAAACTATCGTAATCCCAACTCGAGAGAGAACAAGGTTTTAAAATCACAATTTGATACCATGAATATGAACAAATTAACACAATGGAGGAATACCGTTCACTCCAGCTAGAATTTAGAATGCAAGCTTCACATGTCATTCTTGCAACTAGCACATTAGGTCTGCTGCATATATCGCCAGCATAAGTTGAAATATTTTGCATCCATCCAAATACAAAACTCCAATTTTTCTACCGAGATTCCAGCATTTAAAATCCAAATGGGGAAATCGCATGCGATAATATTTATTAGAAACTCAATTGCGGAGTATAAAAGAAAATGGGGAGCCAAAACAATTGGTGTAGACAAAATTGACAAGCATCAATTCCCGTTAACTATAGTATAGTAACTAGATACCAGCTTGAAGAAGCTCTCAAATAAAAAAATCCAGACATGAGCAACTTATTTAATTTCATCAGTTTTAAAATAGATGTCCATTAAATGTAACGAAAGAAGAAAAGGATGTTAACCACATTCTCGTAGATCCGCAAGTCTTACATAGAATTGACAGCAGGAACACTTTAAAGCTGTTCATATTCTCTGCATTTAACAGAGAAATTTTGTTTGACAAGATGTAAACACCCACACTAGTGATGCAATTTATAATCCTGAATTATTTATAGTCTTTAGTTCCAAAGTTCTTGCACCACATTTGGGAAGGGATTGGACGAACTGGGTGATGTGGTCGTTGCTGAAAAGATTAAGAAATAAAATCTTCTTAGCCAATGTATACAAGTCATGGTAAAAAAAAAACATAAAACATAATAAAACTTTACCGAAAAAGAGAACATAATAAAAAATAATTCTGGCATTTATAACAATAATAATAATAATAGCAACTTGAAAAGTTGAATCAGATTCTTCCACCACTTTTATAAATGAAATTCAACTCATCCATCTATTCAGGCATTTTAAAGTAAACAAATATTCTACTTTATATGCACGGAATTGTAGAATCCACAGAGCATGATATTTACATGACTGAAAAAGATATTCTCCATAGGAAGCAACTATTAAGCATTATTTAGATCCCCAATAATTTTAAAGAACTTAAGGATCACATACACAAGGCTAATGTTTTCTACTGGAAAATAAATAACTGTCTGATGTCCAAGTGGCATCAAAGGGGGAAAAAAAGTAGAGCCAACATACACAGAGCCATCTGAAAATCAAATGTAAACTTTACCATCGTCATTTGAAATTCATATATCTACTAATGTAAATATAACTTCGTTCCACTTAGAGATTCATATTTCAGCCAGTAAATTTTTGCACTTTTTAGAGAAAAATTAAAACAAAGACCAAAATTCAAAGGCAGGAGAAATTTACAATCACTTAGGGTTAGGGTATGAAAATCCAAAGAAACTACAGCAAAAAGATTTACGTCGCATTTTTGGTACAACTCTGACAAAAACCGCAATATTTAGTAGATTTAATAAACAATGGCCATTGATGCCAGTCAGTAAAAGTTGTAGAAATATTTTAAACAACAGAAATAACAAAAACAGGTTTTGTAATGAAAAGGTAGTCAATCCAATCCGTACTCACATTTCGTTCCATGTTAAATTATGTAAAAATCACTAAACAGTTTATTATGTAAAAAAATATTTTTGATGTAATTAAGGTTAAAATATCTAGAAAATATCTCATAATATCTTGATTGTATCTTATAAAATAATTTAGAGTATCTTAGAAGATCTCTCCGGAGTGGTTTTCATTTTTCATTATATTTCTTGATTTGTATTCTTACTTGATTAGGAATTGGAGTCTAGTACTCGTATAAATATGGATTAGTATTTTGTATCACATCATAATACGCATATGAATTTAATATATTTTTCTGGTCCATATTCTCTCTTCTTCTCCTTCTTTACCTAGACCATACAATTTCAACAATAAGCAATAAGCTTGGAAACAAATATAAATAGTTATTTTTTATAAGTTTATCAATATATTTTAAGTATTGTATTTAATCAGGTCTCAGCAACTATCCACAACCTTGTGGAAAAGAATATTCCAATGTATTTTTTGAAAAAAATAAATTATTTGAAAGATATCTATAGAAGCACCAACAGAAAAAGTTTACTCAACAACTTGTTTCTTTTTTTTGAAATCAACTAAAGAAATAAAGAAATGTAGGGGAGATGATTGTTGCTATTTTCAACAGTAAAGATGAAACACAACTGCCCATCTTCCCCAAATTTATGTTGCAGGGAACTCTTTCGGAAGAGTGCAATGATTGCTGCACAACACCGATACACACAATCCCTGCTCAAGAGAAAAGGCCTTATTCCACTCCATTTTTTTCAACCTCTATTCTTTGGGATTTATTCACACTCTGCAGCCACATATATCACACAGGAATAAGAGCCCAATTTTTCTACTTCTTTTGGGAAAAAGAAGAGGGGGAGGCAGATACAGGATAGATAACATTGACTGACGTATACTATGCAATCTAGACAACTATATTGAAACAAGGTTGCTACTTCATTCAAGGTTTGCCTAAATCTTCTCTAAAGAGGAAGCTAAACTCCTCTAACCTCATTATCAATAAAAAAAAGAGAGACCAAATCCACTCAATAGCATTTTCAAGTTTTATGTAATAACAATTTGCTCTCAAATCGAGACAACTTGGCAACAGAACCAGTAAAGGAAAACAATGAAATTGGAAAAAACCATTTATACCATTTCAAATCTCAAATTCGATAAAGCACTATATATCATAGAATTTACACTTATGAATTAACAATAATATGTAAAAAAAAAACCAACCTCAGAAGATAGCACAAAACCCCACAAGAACCAAAATTCCATGACAAAAATCAATGTGCTAGAATAGAAGTTAACACAGAAAGTTCACATGAAGCTAAACTTATAATGACAGAAAACAAAACCAGTCCCACTACAGCAGATAAAGACACCGGAGGAGTGAGAAAAAGTCTAAACAGAAGCCCGATCAAGGTGAAAACAAGGTAAATTGAATAAAAAGGTAGCTCATCCTTGACATAAGCTAGAAAAGAATCACATTCACTCCATTCTTCCCTGCTTTGAAATTCATCTAGAGTAACTAAAAGTTCATTTCAGCCTCATAATTTCAGGAATCACATTCAACTCATAAAGGAATTTGAACAGATTGACATAAATTAAAACATGGCTTTGGTTTTTTAAGTATGGTTTCATTAAAGGTTCGAGAGAAAAAAAAAATACAAGGGGAGAAAGCAGAATTAGTTATGTAGGGAAAGTGGAATAATGGAGAAAAGGAAGAAAAAGAAAAAGGGACAAGTATAAATAAGTAAATAAAAATAGGGAATGAATACTTAGAGAGATAACAATGGACAGAAAAACTTCAACCCCTCATTGTCATCCTCTTCAAATGCCAACCCCCTTCTGTGCTTTAGGAAACATCAACTTTAAGCACTACATATAAGTATCTGACCTCTCCAACACCACAAGCTTACGGTGCTCTGCTTATCAGTGCAACCATCACATACCCTTTAGTTTCCAAATACATATAATCATCAATATATAACAAGGTTCGAACCATATTTTCCAAACAAATATAATCATCAACACACATTGTAGAACAACACTCCAGTAGGCTAACCAACATTGAAAAGTAAACACTTCCAGATCTCAGGGTCCAAAAACAAATATAAAATAAAAAGCTGTTCAGTACGGTAACCTCACTCCCCCTCCTCACCCAAAAAAATAAAAAATAAAAAATAAAAAATATTTTTTTTTTAGCCACACCCCCTTTTCAAACCACGAAAAGAGAAAATGGGGCGAAAGCCCCATCTTCAAATGCTTACAGCATCATTAACCTCAGCCAAAAACATTCTTAATTTCGTCAAAAAATAAAATAAGATCCTAGAAAATCCAAATTCCATTAACGGGTCCGTCTTTTCCCAATAACGAAAACATATCGTCAAATAATCAAAAACATCGACTAACACTAAAATTTGCCGAAAACATTATTAATTTCATCAACAAAAAAAAAGCAATAGAGAGAGAGAGAGAGAGAGAGAGAGAGAGACCTCGAGCTGAGCGGATTTCATGGCGATGGGGATGCAGATGAGGAAGACGCCGAACATCGCTATGGCGGTATTGCGCCTCCAGTGCTTAGGACGACAGTTAGGGCCACCAGTCATACTCCATACATTGTTCCTGAAATCGCCGCCATTTCCATGCCCGTGATCACCGCCACCTCCCATTTCTTTCCGATTAGATTTTCCTTCCAAAATGTCACAATCGAAACCCTAAATTAGCTCAATTTCTCACACTCGTTTGCGATCTGATAGTGAAGAGAGAGGAATGAGGGTTTCGTTTGGGTCGTACCTGAACTCCGGTCGTGTGTGAGAGTGTCCACAAGCTTATGCTGCTATAACTCACAATATAAGTGGTGTTATTTTTAATTATATTTATTAATATGAATAAGATATTGTTCGCAGTTATATTTATTACTCAAAAAATTTATTTTTTATTATTAAATTAATTGTTATTATTTCTTTCCATCTAATTGTTATAATTTATTAAGTCATATTTATTAATTAATTATTATTCTTAAATATTATAATTATTAAATTGACAAAAATTAAAAATAATTAATTTAATAGTAAAAATTGTAAAAAATTTCGATAATAAATATAACTCTTCCGAGATTACCAAAAAAAAAAAAATATATATATATATATATATAACTCTCCTTAAGATATTATGCATACTTTTTCTTTTTTCATACATATTTCTCTTTCACATCATTTTATCATAAACTCAGTCCATGTTTACCCTTTTTCATTCCTATTTTTCTGATGAGATTATGATATGACACTGTTACAAAAGAGTAAATAGAATAGGTATGAATACGGGTACTAAACAAACTATAAGCATTTGATTCGGCTCGTGAAGATCTGAGCTTATATGTTTAAAATTGGTTGTTAGAATTACATTTGAACTTGTATAAAAGCTTATTTAATATAAATGCGACTCCAATTCAAAAATTCGGCATTAGAACCTCTCAGACTGATCATTATACTAATTTGTATTTGTATTTTATATTTTTTATACTATTCATAATAGTCTTATCTCTCACTTCTACCCATTTAACCTCATTTTATTGGTTAAACATACTTTTTGAATGTTTTTGTTCTACATTATGCTTCTTGGATATATATTGTTTGAATAAATTTTTGTTGTCTTGTTTTTTTTTTTTAAACAGGCTAATAGATTAAATCAGACTTTTATTTTTTGTAAATAAGTCAAGCCACGTGCCGATAGTTATATTCATAACAGATAACAAGCTAGGTCAGGCTAACACATTTAAACACAGGCTTATCCTTTTAAGACCAAACCCGACTCGACTCGTTAATATCCCCGCATGAATGTCATCCTCTATTAATAATAATAAAAAAAGCGTTATCCTAGATAAATATGTGTAGGTGAAATTTTTTGGAATAAACATTACGAATTAAATCTAAGTATTACTTCTCAAACAATCATCTTAACCTTTCATTAACTAGATTTTTAATTATTATTTTTTGGAATTTAAACTTTTTTAATTACTCATTCATTTTTATTTAACTTTTCTCACTTAGTTATATTCGTTTTTTAAATAAAATTAATAATAATATGAGACACATCTTCATTTACCAATAATATATAAACGTGTCAAAACAAGTTATGACACACGGGTTGATCCTCGATACGGTACAAAACTTCGTGTTCAGATTGACTTATACATGTCGTGTCAAATTCATGTCAACCCATATTTTTTAACATATTTTTTCAGTTTTTTTAAATTTCAACCCATTTTTTGATTTTTTTTTGTCAATTATTATTTTGACTCAGTTTGTGTGTCATTCACGTCATGTCGTGTCAATTCACAAAAAAATTCATGTCGTATTCTTGAAGATTTGACACAATTAAAAATTTGTGTCATAAATTTATATGGTGTCAAATTTATGTTATTTCGACCTGACACCCCTAATAATACATCTCACTTCTCTTTAATTTTTCAATTGTCTATGTTGATTATGGTGATCTTATTAAACCAATAATTTTGATGTAGCTATAATCTTTTAGTTGGATTGCATAGGTGATATCGAAATTTCAAACTCAAATATTAAAAGTTCAATATTTAATTAATTTTGAATTAATAAAAAAATCAACAAAATATAATTAGGATCCAGCGATTAAAGACACTGGATAAGTGGATAACCTCATCTTAGACAAAGCCACAAAACAGTGGAAAAAAAAAACATTAGACACGTTTTAACATTGTGGTGAACAACAGAAAATGGACAACTTAGAGAGAGTGTCATGAGATGAGATTTGGATTCTATACTGAACTTTCTATTTAAAATTTTCAATTCCCATTTATAAGTGATGCCAACTTGATTCTATTTGGCAACAATTGAGTGAGCATAGTATATGAGCATAGGATTGAAATAGAAAAATATGATTAATCTTGTCTCAATAACAATACTTTTGAAAGATTTTCAATCATCAATTTAGTCGTAAAAAAATCATTACATTAACTTATTTTTCAATATTTATTAAACTAACTACAAAAATCTCATAGTCTGAGAAAGAAGATTAAAGAGGGAGATATAGCAAACCTCATCACAGTTTGAATTGTCAGAAATCAGAATAGCAGAGATACATATCAAATAAAAAATGAACATGCTTCACAAAGAGAGAGTTGAACTATGATTCTTTGGATTCTTCACAATGGCTTTTGGCTTTCTTTCAAAATCAAAGGGTCAGAACTTAGAACAGTTCCTGGTTTGGGAGGTGGATTTTCTTCAATGAACTTTATCAACCCTTTCTCACCTCCAGGAAAGCCTCCAGTTAGCCCCATCATTTCTTTCTCAAAAGCATCTTCTGGAACTGCAACACTATTAATACCACCATCACCACCACCAGAGTTTTCATGCTCTTTGCCATGTTCTGCTGTTACTACTACTTGTTGTGGCTGTTCATCAACTTGTCTTTTCAGCTCTTGTTCAAGACCCATTTCCCCTTTGCATATTCCTCTTCCCCCCATGATTTCAACTATGTTGAACTTGGCTCTTGGTTGTAGTTCACAAGTTGGTTTTCTTTGATGCACCAGTGTAGAAGGTTGTTTGAGAGGGAAGTGATGATCTTGGCCTAGAAACTGGGATCGAAGAAGAGAGTCATGCAAGCCATGAAGAGTAGCAAAAGCAGCCATTCTTTAACTGTTTAATAAACAGGAGACAAACAACATTAATAGCAGGAGTGAGTGGAAGTGCTGAAAGAAAAGAACAGTTTTCATTAAATCCTTAACATTTTGATGCGTCTTTGGATAGAAATCTTCTTTGTCAATGAATAGATTCCTCCTTTAATTCTAACCACAAATAAAATATAGTACAACCAATATGTGGTTGTCATTGATTTTAGCTGTGCATGTACTTTAGTAATCCTAAGGCGTCCACAATTTTAGATAATAGTTCATTGAGTGAGGTAACAAAATTAATATATTATTGAATAAAAAATAGGAGTAAGAGTAATTATGATTCATTTAAAATTGCTTTGTAAACTATATGTTAAAAGGAAAAACTACTCTTGGAGTTTGAGAATAGTTCTCTTTCCTGTAAATCCATCAATTTTTGTGTTGTTTTTTTTTTTTTTTAATAAATAAATGGACTCTACCATATAATTGTGTTTATGATAGGAAAAAAAGTATTGAGATTAATAAAGCTCATGTTTTGAAGTTATCAATCATATGTTTTTATTTTGTTTAAATTTTACATCTCGAATATACTTTTATTATAGAGCATATTTTATACATAAACAAATTTAATTTAAATATGCTTTCAAATTATATTATGTGGCTAGTGGTATAATTGTTAAGATGCCCAAAAATATTTTTGAGACTGTAAATATTGACGAATGGAAGAAACTTGGAAAAACAAATAAAATGTTAATATCAAAACATGAGATTCTTAACATCTACAATCCTCAGCCAGGGTTGTATACAATCAATCAAAACAGTAACTGAGTGGCAATAAGATAATTACAATATCATATCCTATTTCCATAGTTATAAACAAGGTACTACTAATTTGGAAACTCAACTCCCTTCAATTCAATTCAATTCTTGTGGCGCTGACTAATGGTACCCTACTTCAGCTGCTGCTGGCAGGGGAAGCATGTGACTTCTCAATAAGCAACTCAAGTCTCTGGTCACAAATGTAGAGAAAAAAAAAAAAGAAGGCAATTAAAAATTAAAGCATGAATGCAAATAATCAAAAACAAAAATAGAATAGAACAGTTCCTAGGCCTGCTGTTCTGTTGTGTAACTATCAACAAATAATCACTCATGTGCCAGTAGTGTGAGGGAGGGAGAGAACAAAAGTGGCCAAAGTGTCACTGTTGGATAAAAAAAACACCAAAATATCACACCAACAGTAAATTTTGCCAAAATGTCACGTGGCATATTTCGCTACACTCTGTAACAAAATATGTGTGCAAATAATTCGCTACACGGAGTCGCGAAATATGCCGCATCAGAATGCACAGAACCAAAAATGCCACGTGTCAGACCGGGAGAATTTCGCTACACTGTGTAGCGAAATTCTCCCTGTTTGACACGTGACATTTTTTGTTCTGACGTGGCATATTTCGCTACACCGTGTAGCGAACTATTTGCACACATATTTCATTACACAGTGTAGCGAAATATGCCACGTGAAATTTTGGCAAAATTTACTGTTGGCGTGACATTTTGGTATTTTTTTTTTTGCCAACAGTGCCACTTTGGCCACTGTTCCGAACAAATTTGTATTCAATAAGAGCATGTTATGAATTTGAAGCCAGCAAATGGTCAATGAATATAGAAAATTTTCCAACAAAAATGCAAGTATGGTCTGGTGCCCTAGAACAAGAGGAAGCTAAGAAAATGTGTTTCCATCTAGTTGAGAGTTTTTCAATAGAATCCATGCTCTATTAAGAGAAGATACAAACCTTAACTGATTTGTTGACTTCTTCAAGTTTATTAAGAAGCAATCCTCCGCCTACTCTGCGCTCTAGTGAAGAAGAACGCGGTGAGGCTGCCATCTGTAGATGAGGGTAAAACAGAGGTTTATATTAGTGAAATTCAAGCAATGCATCTGATACTAAAATGAAATTTCTTTCTTTCTTTCTTTTCAAAAGAGAGAGAGAGAGAGAGAGAGAGAGAGACAACTCATCATTCTTATGTAAGAAAAAAGAGAACCCTGATCCAAGCTTTCATTTCTGTCAAAGCTGATCAACAAATTTCAAATCTAACACTAACTAAAGTTGTGCCAAATTTTATAGGATGATCTGAGCAAATTAATAGATAACTGTATGAATATATTACTCTCCTCCAATATTATGAAAATGTCTAACTCTGCATTTTCCCTTCTAGTAGGTGCATATTGTAATATTCAAGTAAAAATTTAAAAAAAAAATTCTTTGAAAGCATCTTTGAAAGAAAAAAAGAAAAAAAAACTTCTATATTGCAAGGGATGTAGACCAGGAATACTCCTCGTCACCCAAAAATAAAACTAGGACTCGATATTGCAAGGGAAAAGAACCTCTAGCACTAGAGTTCCTAAATTGTATTGTTTTATCCAGAAACTCTCAGAACTTCTTGTGCACCTTCAACCTTCAACTCAACCCACAAAACTATAATTCAAACATTTGCAAGAAAACAAAAGCACGCTTCTTACAAAGACCACTATATGGCTATCATTCTAGGTTAATAGAGGGCCATAGGTTAAACTCCTACCAGCTCAAGCTCATACATATCTGGGATGATGAGGTAGACTAACTACCAAACTTACTAATTGTCCACAAGTGTTACTGTAATAGTGGAACCTTATTTCCTTCACAAGTGTTGCCGTAACACTGTTTCAGTGATAACAGCATTCTAGAACAGATCATTTCTTGTATGGCTCTTAGAATTACGTTGAAACATTTTAAGCATTATCCAATTCCTTTAGTTACTAGGGGTGGCTCATTGCTAAGATGCATGGCTGGATGTCTTCAATTACCTTCCAACTTTTTGATGGTGATCTCAAATAAACTGATCCCTCAGCTGTTGCTGGCATACGAGTCAAGTTTTCCACATCTCTGCTTGGAGCAGTAGGCTTCCCGCTTTTACTTACATCTCTTGAGATCTTCGAAGCTTCTCTTATGATCACCTGCAAATCAATTGCATTATTTCAAGCTGATAAAATCCCCTTTATGAGTACTTAGCAGTACAATGTTAAAAGAACAACTAAAATATAAGTGTTAAGAATAATATTAAGTATTAACATCTCAGTCTCCGAAAATAAAAAGAATCATATTGAGAAACATATTTTGTTTCACCTTTCTCAAAAGATCAGGGTCAGAAATTCCTTGAACTTGTAGTTCATCTACAGGAGCAGCTTTTCCATATGCAATACTTTCAACTCGAAAAGTATGGATACCATATATAGATTGCAGGCAACCTGGCAAAAGAAATGAGGAAATCTAGTCAAAGGAAAAATATAAGACATAACAAACATCATATAGGTAAGGTTTTAATGACAATATAAAATGTCTTTTGTTATGTCTATTTAGTCAAAGCTAGTAACTTTTAGCCCTTTAAAACCCCTGGATAAATGCAATTAATTTAAACAAAGGATATTAAACTAGGGTTCAATAAAACAATCTGGCAAGGCCTGCATCAGTACCTTGCTCAATAATAATGTCAATCACCAGAGCAAGCGGTACACGCCTCTCAATTGTTACGGTGCCCCAAAAAGGTAAAAATGAAGGCCTTGACACCTTGACCAGGGGAGAAAGGAAAGAAAAAATCACTTCCCATTTCAAAAGTCATAATACAATACCATGATCTTGCAGAACTATTCATATATACCTTGTAAACTATTTCAGTATGTGTAACAAATAATCTTCGAGAGGACAAATCCTTTCGAAGCACATATCTCCTAATGGGAAGGTAAAGCAACATAATAAGACCAATTCCCCAAGCTAAAACCAGCAGTAATGATATACAAAGCCAAATGACCGTATCATATTTAATGCTACTGCTTGCAAGTTCTTCAAAGGATGCTGAATACAGTATCTGTTCCAAACAAGCTTCCTCTGAGTCTTCATCATCGCCAGATTCCGATAGAGGGTCTGCAAGTATCTGATCCCTTGATGACCTCAGCTCTGATAGGTGATCTGTGTGACCAATCAACATCTCTTCAACCACAAACTAGTCAAGAAGAAAGGAAAAACATAATAAAAAAATTACCTCAAAAAGAACTATAAAACCCCTTATCCAAGGGAAACTACTGCTGACATTTTAGAGTGAAATGTGAAAACTCAGAAGGCTAGCAAGTCAAATGACATTTTCTGCAGCATATGCTCACATGGATTGAACTGAATTATATAATACTGAAAACTCTAACTTCCAAAACACTCTTCAGTATTTTCAAATGCATTTATATCTCTCTCAAAAAATGCAAACAACTGCTGTGACTTTCCCATAGTATTCAGTTGATCAGTTCCAAATAAAAGACAACAAATTAAATAGCAGAAACAAAAAACGACCTGTTTGGCAACCGAGAAAACAGGATGAATGAAAATGAAACAAACCCCAACATTATAAACCATTTATCACCTTAACACATTCTCTGAAGCAGAAATTCAACTAGGTAACAAGCAAAGTTATCAAATGTGGATTGCGGTATGTCGCGGCCAATCCCGAAAAACGCAATAGCTCTATAGCGGGTTTCGGTTACGGAAATAGCGGAATAAATATATAACATAAATAATGACAAAAAAAAACATTTTTCAAAGGCAGATATAGCAGAAGTGACAAACAGAGATGCAGATAGACTAAAAAACCCTTAAAATTTATTCTGTTACACACATAAATTTAGAATAAAATTGACATTTTGCTTTACGACAACAATATGGTAGTGATTTGGCTGCAAATGTGACCGTGATGGCCGCTATTGCATTCTAGTGCGACGCGGCTTGGCCCGCAACGCCCATACGGCGCGGCTCGCGGCGCTATTGCTTCGCAATTAACTACTATGGTAACAAGTTTACTACTTTATTTTTTGTTGAGTAATCTCAAGAATATCCTCCGGAGTAATCGAAGACTGATCTCCATCGAGCACTGTCGGACTCTTTCAGGACGGCTCTCCTAATTTTATTTTTTTTCATTCCCAGACTCGAACTCGAGACCTGGTTAAGGGGCGAGGCTCTTACAGTGCCAAAGGAGTTTGGTATAGTTTACTCCTTTACCTAACAGCAGAATATGAATAAAAAAGCAACAAAAAAACAAAGAAGAAAAACTCGGTACCCATTTGCTTTTAGACCCTTTTGAGAACTTGCAACAAAAATTGAAGGAAACAAACAGATTAATAAAATCTGAGACAAAGGTGAAACCTTTACTTGGTATTTCCGAGAAATTTGCTGAAATGGTTTTGTGGGTTTGTGAATGGAATGGTAGTTTCAGCGGTCTGATTCCTTGTCTCACTCTCTTGCGGGTAGGTTTTGTTGTGAAAGAAAGGTGCAAGTGAAGTGGAAAAGTGCACCAAACATTCAATTCAAAGGGTGGTTTGGTTGTTGCTAGTTTCCTCACAACGTGGCAAACACATAGAAGAAATTGGCAGTTGGCAAAATGCAAGAGGTTTTATTAAAGTTTCCTATTTTTACTTTTGTACAACTTTTAACAACAATGTAAATAACAATTTAATTTAGGTATAGTTTAATTTTAAAAACAAATCTAATTAAAGATTAAGTAATTTTTTTTTTTAAGTTTTAACTCGTATGTTAATTAATTATGTGTTAAATATGAGACACGTGGATCAATTGATAAGAAATTAAGCTTAACTAATAATTTGTGTTAAAATATTAATAAGGAGAGTTTTCTCGCCTTGTAATTCTGTTATGCTAATCATAGATATACCGGTAACTTGAAAATACAATTCAATGCTAATATAGTACCAGATTTTTTTTTTTTTGATAACAATATAGTACCAGATTTAAATACCGGCTACAATTGTGCTATCTTATTGGATATAAAAATTATTTCTTACACATACATAAAAAAAAATATGTAAGGTACATGTGAGATCATATGAGAAGAAGAGAGAAAAAAAAAGAAAATATGAATTTCATATATTTTTATCTGTATATAAGAGATAATTTTATTTTCTACAACATGAGAAATATTAAATCTAAATAATTTATATATAAAAGAAGGGTTTATTATTTTTCCTGTCACAGTTAGGGATGTAAATGGGTTAGGCCAGCCTACAGGGACCTACAGCCTAGCCTATAGTAGGTCAGATTTGGCTTATTATAAATAATAAAATAGAACAGATTTAAGCTTTTAAAAAAAATCTATTTAGAAAATAGGCCATAGGCATTTTTTGTACATGTCAGTCCTATAAGCTTACAGGGCGGCCTATATCATATTATTTATTTTAAATAAAATAAATAATAATTTTATTTTAAGTATTCTTTTAATTGTTGAATGTTTAATATGCTTAAACATGCTAACAGGCCTAGTCCAAGGCTTTTATTTTTTAAATATAGGTCAGACCAGACTTGTAATTTGGGGCCTACACAAGCTAACAGGTCAGACCAAACCCAGTGTTTTTTACACAGGCTTGACCTATTTAAGACAAAATCTAACCTAGCCTATTTACACACCTAGTCACACAGATAAAATTATTTCTCGTAACCCTAAAACGACATCGTTTTGACTTTCGAGGGTTAAAGAAATTAATAAAGAATATTTTGATAAAATTTATATAATGAAGAAATAAACTAAATTACTTAAACACCCTATTTGTATTTTCATTATTTCCATTATTTATATTTTCGACCTTAAATTATTACTATCATTTAATGTTTCTTAATAATAATTGTTCTAAAAATAAAATAAAAAAATTACATTGGCTATTTCCTCCTTGGCTGTGCATTGGTCGAAAACAGTACAAGAAATTCCGAAACTGACGTACAGGAAACGACACCGTAAAAGAGCATATACTTTTCCCTTAGTTTCCTTCGTTTCTCTCTCTTCGCCGTTCATTTTCCACAAACATCTCTCTCTAGAATAGCTTCCTCACCACTGTTTCCTTCTACCCTTCTACTTGATCCATTCAAGGTCCATTCTTCATCTACAAGTCCTCACTTTTATTCCTTTAATTTTACTTATTTATTTTCATTTTTTGTAATATCTTATATGTAAAGTTTGAATCTTGGGGTGTTCAAGTTTGGAAAAATAGAAAGAAGGCAAAAGGGTATGTGAGATTTTAATTGGGTGAGTTTTGGTTTTGGAAATTAAGTTCTGGTTTTTCTGATTTTTGAAGTCTGCTTTTGTTGGGGCTTACTAATCAGTGATCGCTAATCAGTCCTTTGTGCATAGATAGAAAAACAGAAGTTTTATGTTGGTTTCTGACGAATGAGATTGTAGTTGTTCTTGTTCTTATTGGCTTTCTGGGTGATATATTTCCTCTACTATGTTTTGTAACATTCACATTTTCTGCTTGTTTTGAAAGAAAAGATTGAGAATTTGGACACGTTCCTTTTTATTTATTAAAAGATGAGAACTTTCTTGATATCCAATGCATGATGGTTAATGATGATTATGGAACTCTTTATAAAATAAAGAGGAAAGCCTTTTTGTTCCCTAACAAAAGGTGTCTACTTTTGTTCCTTACAAAAAAAATACCTGTATTAGTCCTTTTTTTAGGATTAAATTGGGTCTGAGGGATCATATTTTCAAAGAACCGAAATTGTAGAGGATCAAAAATTGACTTGGGGATAGTATATTTTTGTTAGGGACTCAAAATGAGTTTTACTCTAAAATAAAATAAAATGAAATCCTATTTCTGTTTTTGTAATTATTCATAAATTCGTATCTTTCTTTCTTTTTTTCAATTTGAAAAAAGAAGAAGAAGAAGATAAATAGGATTTATGAATAAGGATAAAATCCCTTTTATCTTTGAAGGCAGGCGGGGATAAATTTTCTATAACACTATTTCTCAAGCAGTTTTAGTCTTTAAGACGTGGTGCTAATGTGCCTGACATCTACTTTTAGAGGCTTCAATTTGTGTTTAGACTTATAATATGTACTAATGTGTATTTTTATGTATAAAATTCACCTAATTTTTAAATTTTTCTTTTTCCTTTTTTGTTCCCTCATAATAATTATTCTATATTTGGGATAAAGGTGTTGTTGATGTTGATGTTGATGTTGATGTTGATAATAATTATTCTATATTGCAGATAAAGTTGTCATTTAGTTATCCTCTAAAGCTGTGTTTTGCTCTGCAAGGGAGTTCTGAAGAATGATAAGATTTCACATTTAAACCCAACAAACAGATGGATAAGAAACAGCATATTGCAATTTTTACTACTGCTAGCCTTCCATGGTTGACAGGAACAGCCGTGAACCCTCTGTTTCGTGCTGTATACCTTTCCAAAGGTGGGGAAAGAGATGTCACCTTGGTGATCCCTTGGTTAACTTTGAAAGATCAAGGACTAGTATATCCCAACAATATTACATTTGCTTCACCCGCAGAGCATGAGAAATATATCCGCCAATGGCTCGAGGAGAGAGTTGGATTTACATCTGATTTCAGCATACGGTTTTATCCAGGAAAGGTGATAATTTCTCTCCGCTTTTACGTTTTCCATTAACCGGAAAAATTGGAAGCATACAGACAAAAACCCTGAAATATGCACATGAAGTCCATTGTCTGTGTTTGGCCATCATGATAAAACATTATTATAGTAAAATGGTTTGTTAATAGGCTTGTAATGGGGACTTGCAATCTTCCATTACTAGTGTTTCAATAGTAATATGTTTTTATGTTACCTATTTGGTCTATAGTATGGAGCATCTATCAGTTTTTAGAATTCTCCCATTTCGGTTTTATTCAATTATCATTTACTTACAATATGTGAGATCTGAGTGTTTTCCAGTGGCCATCATGAACTATTATTGTTATGTAAGTAGTACTAATTTATGATATACTTATATTGTAGTTTTCTAGAGATAAAAGGAGCATTCTTGCTGTTGGAGATATTTCTGAAATTATCCCTGATGAAGAGGCAGATATTGCTGTTCTAGAGGAGCCCGAGCACTTGACATGGTATCACCATGGGAAAAGATGGAAGACTAAATTCAGGCTAGTTGTTGGAATTATTCACACAAATTATTTGGAATATGTGAAGAGAGAGAAGAATGGAAATATGCAAGCATTTTTGCTGAAATATTTAAACAATTGGGTTGTTGGCATCTATTGTCACAAGGTAAGTTATTATATTTTCATGGACAATAATAAATATGTATCCAATGTTTACCTTGGCATACTGTGTTTTTACTTCTGCAATAAATGAAGCTAGAGCTTTGAAATTGTCACATTTTTTAATTTTCACATGTGAAGATGAATTGAATGGTTATCTTGTCAGCGGTATTGCTAACAATTAGATTAGCAGTTGATGCTATTGAATAAATGTTTTCTGGTTGATACTCAATAGCAAACAAGTGTTATATTGTCCCGCCTAAAATATATAAAACCGGGCAGGGATCCACTTAGCAAGTTTTGTCATATTTACACTGGTTAATAACTTTTTATGGACGTTGAAATTCATCAATCCAACTTTTGGATCGAAAATTCTCATTCAGTAGATTAAGTCTACAACATTTCATATAATTTAAAAACTAATTGATATCACACAACTTCATTTTAGTGTCAACTATAAGATTACATAATTTATCTTCATGACTGAATGGTCATGGGTTCGAATCTAGGAAACAGCCTCTGCAATTATGCAAAAGTAAGGCTGCGTACAAGGATTTCCTCCACCCCATACTCGTTAGTCGGGTTTAACAGGGAGTGATTTTTTTTATAAGATTACATAACTTATCTAAAATTTAGTGTTCATGATCGTCAAGATAATATCTCACTATCCAACTGTTAGATTTATTAAATTCATATTCTACAAAAAGTTATTAAAAAGTGAAAGTGTCCAAGACTTACTCCTGGAGTTAGAGGATCCCTTCTCATGTATAACATGTTTGAAAGAATGTAAAATCTGCGATTTCCCATTTTGCATGTGCTTGAGGGATTGAGAAATGTGCAATCTAACTTCCATTTGGTGTTTTTGGTTAGTGTGGAGCACATATTTTTAAGGTGTTTTCTTTGGTTGCTAAACTGAATTAGGATAAGCTCAGGCAGTTGACTTTTATTTGGTCCAGATAGCATGGTCTTTTTTGAGATGGTTTCTTTAGCAGCTTTGCTTCATTGATGTTTCCTCTATTTCTTTGTTGTTTTATTTTTCCTTTCTTGTTATGGGTTATCGCTTATCTTTGTCTTAATTAATTTGTTCTTTGACAAAAAAAAATTAAAAATTAAATTGAACACAACAGATTGGTTCTTTTTAATTTATTAGGCCTATATATATGTGTGTGTTCTGGTTAGGTAAAGGCAATGCATTGATAATGTTTCTCGGTGTGTTCATTTATGTAAGTGAAACAATTACTTTATCTAAGATATCATAAAGCTGTCCTCTATGTGGCAACTTTACATGCTCAAGTTAGATAAGTGAATATCATCCTAGTGAGAAATGAGACTACATTCTTATTTATTTTTATTTTTTTGATAACAACATTCTTATTATTAGTTGTGACAAAATAATATTAACAATTATCATAAACTTGCAAGAATTGCATGCTTGTTCTCTTGGAATTGATTAGCTGTATAATTGCAGGTAATTAGACTATCTGCTGCGACCCAGGACTACTCTGGGTCCATAATCTGTAATGTTCATGGAGTTAATCCAAAATTCCTTGAGATTGGCAAGAAAAAGAGGGAGCAACAACAGAATGGAGATCAGGCCTTTACCAAAGGTGCCTACTTTATTGGGAAGATGATATGGAACAAAGGCTACAAGGAGCTGCTCAAACTTCTTAGTGATCATCAAAAGGAATTAGCTGGGCTTGAGGTTGATTTATTTGGCAGTGGAGAGGACTCAGATGAAGTTCAAAAAGCGGCGAAAAAGTTGGAATTGGCAGTTAGAGTTCACCCAGCTCGTGATCATGCTGATGCTCTATTTCATGAGTAAGTTTCATACTTCATCAGCTGTGTGCTTATTAAAATTCTGTGTTTCATACTTCATACTTCAATAGCTTAGCAAATTGACATATAGTATACCAATGCTCATGTATGAATTTTTTCTCTAAACTTCTCCAGTTTTTTGTTTAAATATTTTACAGTGTGTTTTTAATCACCCTATGTGAAATGAAATACCTCTTTGACAATTGTACTGATGGGGAACATGTGTATGTTTACACTTAACACTTCATTTCCTGCCCCCCCAGTTTCAAATTGTTTCTGAATCCGAGCACAACAGATGTGGTTTGCACAACAACAGCAGAAGCTTTAGCAATGGGAAAAATTGTTGTGTGCGCCAACCATTCCTCAAATGACTTTTTCAAGCAGTTCCCAAATTGTTGGACATATGATGACAGTAAAGGATTTGTTAAACTAACACTTAAGGCACTGTCTGAACAGCCTGCCCAGCCTACTGACGCTCAGAGACATGACCTTTCTTGGGAGGCCGCCACGGAACGGTTCCTTAAGGCCACTGACCTGGACAAGCCATTTGAGAGAAAATTGTCAAGAAGTTCTTCAAACTATATGTCTACCTCATTGAATTTGCAACAGACAGTAGAAGATGCATCAGCATTAGTACATCATGTAGCTTCTGGGTTTGAAATATCAAGAAGACTATTTGGTGCTATACCAGGTAGCTTGCAACCAGATGAACAGCTACGCAAGGAGCTTGGGTTGAAAAAATGATATTAACAGTTGTAGAAATTCCTGTTTACTTTGTTCCTAAAAGTTCAAAGTGGTAATGCTAAATGGTCTCTTTCTAATCACATAGGAAAAGGTTTGGTGCTTGGAATAGATATGTAAAGAAGGCAACTTTGCATAGCATCAAGCTTGTAAATGTTAGAGAACATGACTATTCCTCTATGGGATGACTGTTATATTTCATATTGTTTGTTCTAATAAGTTCAACCCCTATATTTGTGAGGTTTGGCACCCTTTGAGGATTAAGCTTGTTAAACTTATAATTTTTGTTGATTATTATATAGTTCAGATTATTGAATCTTGGCTTAGCGGTTGGTGGTGTTGCATGAATATGAAACATTGGTAAACCACCAAATCAGGCTCTCTCAATCAAATTATTTGACATTTTGACTTTTATTTTTTTAGAAGTAAAAAAATAATAGCTTAAAAAAAAAAGGATTTTAATTTTTTTTTAATAACTTTTGTTTTTTAACTGACATACAAGCACTCATTTATAGTGATATATATGGAAACTGCAATGAATTGGAGATTTATTTGCTTTTGAATGTATTAATGATCCTTACCACTGCCTCCTTCCTATTTCATTTCCTTTTCTTTTTCTCTTTTTCATTTTTCAAAATTGATTTCATTTCAAATTTGGAATATGTTACAGAAATCTCAACTGCATAAATGATTTGGCATATATAATAAGGCAAAAATATTTTTCCTACTGCAGCAGACAATACTTTGTCTGCCACAAACACTTATTTATTAAAATTTGTTGTCCGGATTTTGGTTTTTATAGGTAATAATTTATGTTGTACATATAAAAAAATGGAACCCATATAATAGTTTCTCTTATATGGAAACATTATAGGTAATATTTTTTTTATGTTGTAAAAAAAAAAAATTATATGCTACACAAATAATAAATAGGAGAGACAAGAGAATTGGAGGTGAGAGAAAAATTTTTATGGGACTCATTTTAAAAATATGAATATAAGAGATAATATTTTTCTTATGCAACATAATAAAAGTATGGGAAAAGTGTTTGTCCTTTTAGGGCATGTTTGGTACATAGCATAGGATAAAGCCTAATAGTATAAGACTTGATAATATAAGCCATGATTGTATAAGACCTGATTAAATTTTAATACTATCCAACGTTTGACATGATATTGTATAAGATAATATATTATATAAGATAATATCATCAAGTGTTTGGTAATACACTGTATAATACTAGATAGGTTAAAAATAAATATTTTTGTCAAAAATACCTTTTAATAATGAATTTACATAATTCTTCCAAATATATCGCATGATATTATTTTTTATAGAAATATGTTGATCAGTGTGTTCAAAAAATATATTAATTTTTATAAAAATAAAAATCTCCAATATTTTAAAAAATTATATATTGAAAATTTATTTTTTATTTTAATATACTAATATTAAAATAATATATTAATTCTTGAGAATTGCATTGGTTAATACATTAACCCCTTATCTGGCATAATCCTACTCTCCTAGGCCTGATTAAGTTATACATAATTTTGATGTATAAAAAGATCTTGTTGTATAAGCTTATACTATACGATGGTCACACCAAACAACTAAAAATGTCATAATGTATAGTATAAGCTTATACTATCAGGGCTTAAACATCACACCAAACATACCTTTAAATGACACAACTTATATCATTTCACTTTCCCAAAGAGGTGAGACCCACATATTTATATTTTTTTGTCCACTCTCTCTCTCCTCCTTTATCTATCTCTTTCTCTCATTTAAAATGACACAATTTTACATCCTTTAAAATAATACACACTTTTCCCTAAAAGTTTTACCCTAACATTATAACCTTGCAACGATCTTGGTGTATGATATTTTTATTTAAATAGTGAAGAGATTGAAATGTTAACACTCTTGGAGTGATATTAGTAAAAAGGATATGTTATTCCACCTACCATCTTTTCTGCCTACTTTTGCCTACTACTCTCCAATATCGTTAGATTAGAATCTTAACTAATATTTATCTTTCTCTCTCTTCTTGAGATTCTGATCTGACGGTGTTGGAGGGGGTAGGCAGAAAAAATGATAAGTAGAATAACCTATCCCTTTATGGGATTCATACTAGTATAGGTATTAATAATAATATTTCCCTCTTTCCCTCATATCTCTAGGAGTATAAATAGGTTAGGTCCGGCAAGACTTTGACTTAAATAGGTCAAACATGTGTAAAGTCTGGTCTGACCTATATATTCATACTAGTATAAGTATTAATTATAATATTTCTCTCTTTCCCTTATATCTCTCTTAGGTAGGAGTATAAATAGGTTCATTTATGCAAGACTTTGACTTAAATAGGTCAGTCTGGTCTGACCTATATATTCATACTAGTATAAGTATTAATAATAATATTTCTCTCTACCCAATGGGTGCAGCTCAGTTGGTAACTTGGCACTGAGTTAGTGGGGTTGGATATGTGTTCGATTCCCGATGAATGCATTCTTGGGGAGGGGGCTAAACCTTTAGCCATCACTGTTCCCCCGCACTCCGGATTAGTCCCATAGCCGGCTCAAAGAGTCAAAGCTCGTGGGGATACCGGAGGGAGCCAACTCGTCTCAAAGAGATAATTAGGGTTGGGTAACTCCAAAAAAAATAATAATAATAATATTTCTCTCTTTCCCTCATATCTCTCTTAGGTAGGAGTATAAATAGGTTCGTTTAGGCAAGACTTTGACTTAAATAGGTCAGGCATGTGTGAAGTCTGGTCTGACCTATATTTAAAAAGGGATAGGTTATTCTACCTACCATTTTTTTTGCCTACATCTGCCTACCCCCTCCAACACCATTAGATCAGAATCTCAAGAAGAGAGAGAAAGATAAATGTTAGTTAAGATTCTGATCTGATGGTGTTGAAGAGTGATAGGTAGAGGTAGGCAGAAAAAATGGTAGGTAGAATAACCTATCCCATTTAAAAAATAAAAGCTTTGGCCTAGGCTGTTAGCCTATTTAAGCTTATTAAACATTCAACAATTAAAAGAAGGGATATGTTATTCTACCTACCATCTTTCCTGCCTACCACTCTCCAATACCGTTAGATCAGAATATCATGAAGAGAGAGAAAGATAAATATTAGTTAAGATTCTCCAATACTGTTAGATCAGAATCTCAAGAAGAGAGAGAAAGATAAATATTAGTTAAGATTCTGATCTAACGGTATTGGAGGGTGGTAGGCAAAGGTAGACAAAAAAGATTGTAGATAGAATAATATGATATAGGTCGGTCTGTAGGCTTGTAGGCCCGACATGTACAAAAAAAGCCTATGATCTGTTTTCTAAATAATTTTTTTAAAAGCCTAGGCCCGTTCTATTTTACAATTTTTTATAAGCCAAGCCTGGCCTAATGTAGGTTAGGTCATAGGCTTCTGTAGACCGGTCTAGTTCATTTACAGGGAGAGTGACCATTTTGCCACACCTGCCAAAAAAATTTACCAGGCTGCCACGCTAACATTAAATTTTTCCAAAATGCCACGCGGCATATTTCGCTACACTGTGTAGCGGAATATGTTTGCATATAATTCGCTACACAGTGTAGCGAAATATGCCATGTCAGGTTGCACAGTCAGCAAAAATGACACGTGTCAAGCAGACAAAATCCAAGCATAATTTGCTACACAGTATAACGAAATATGCCGCGTGACATTTTAGAAAAATGTACTGTTAACGTGACAGTCTAGTAAATTTTTTTGCGAGGCGTGGTAACAAAATGGTCACTGTTCCTTGTTTACACCTCTACTCTCTGATGTCATATTTTTTTGTTCCTCGTTTACACCTCTACTCTCTGATGTCATATTTTTTGGTTGTTCAATTACCAAAGCAGGAGAGAGAATATTAAAGGAGAAGAAGATAATTTTACATATTTTAAAAGAAGAGTAATTTTATAAATATCATATTCCCTAAAATTTAGCTCATTTAATAAGTTTTTAATTCCTTTGCTTAAATCAAAACGTTATTATTGTTTAAGTTAACAACCCATCTTTTTTAATTTGAATAAAATATGGAATGATTCACTCTGATTTTTTTGTTTTTTTTGCTTAATACTACTCTTTACCGTTTTAAGTCAAAATTCCTACAAATTTGCACACAAATGTGGAAGAAATTGTACTTTTTGTAAAATGACTAGAAAAGAAATCATAATAACTCCTTTCAAACTTTATCCTATAATTTTTTTTTCTCAACTTTATCAAAATTCAAAAAAATGAAAAAGAAACCAAGATAATAAATATACTCACTAATTTTGTAAAACCATATCACATAATAAGTATGTAAAAAAATTTATTTAGGTTGAACTAATCCAGTCATATATACGACTACTCAAATTGGATATTTTCATAAATATAAACCATACACAAATAATATAAAATACATTTAGGAGATAATTATTTCTTACATATACATAAAAATATGTGGGGTCCATTTTTATTTTTTTTTCTCTTCTCTTCACATGGGCCTCACCCATTTTTATGTATATAAAAGATAAAATTTTCTCCTACAATATGAAAAATATTAATCCCTTAAAATATTCATTAATTTTCAAAACCATTTTAGTATTTTAAAAAGTATTAAAATATGAATTTTCAAATTTTGTCCGGAGTGTATTTTTTTATTTTATTTTTCAGTTTTTGTTGACCACAGGGCATAACTTACTAAGTAGTAACCTATGTAACCTTAACATTCAGAAGTTCAAACAAGTAACGGTTGTTTCCTTAGTTGTTGGGTTCAGTGGATGATGAGCTTGCCAACTCAGAAGAAACCCAGAAAGACTAAAATCACTCGCTCCCAAGTTTCAAATTCACACGCCAACACCACAATTTGCTTGCAGTGTTTCTTGAACACGTTGTGGGCATTCCCTCATTCAGGAATGTGTCACACGTGGCTTAAACAAGCGTTACTCACTACCCCATTTATGTTTTTACGGTGTTTGGATCATTTCAGGGTTAAAGTTGTTGTCTTTGATAGCCAAGAGGTGTGTATTCTCGTGTTTGAGTCCCCAACATGGAACACTTTGAGCCCCAGTTCAAGTTGCCAGCTGACTGGGTCTATGATTCTCAAACCAAGGTATGTTTTGTTGATTGAATCATTTGTCTTCACTAAATTTGTTGAACTCAATTACTGGGTCTGCTTGAATTTTAATGATCATGGAAATGGGTTTCGTTTTATTCTTTTTTTTGCTGTGTCCTAGATTGTTTTTCCTCTTCCATTAGCTGAATTTTTA